AATAATGACCTGGTACATGTACAGGTATTAATAAAAGTAGTGAAAAAAAGAAACAAATTAGTAAAAGTTTGATCAATGTTCGATTGAAAGGTTCTACCGTACATGTATGTCCCATTTGCAGGCCCAAAAGATGAAAAGGTTAAATTCCAACGGCATTTGAAAGATAATAATAATTTAGAACTTCCCTAAAGAAAAGGGGGTCTTTAAGTGGGAAAATAACGACTATTAGTTGTCAAATCGACTTAAGAGCTATAGAGTGGTGAAGTGTGACGTCATCAAAAATCTAAACCGGTATTTAGAATTTCTCAAACTTTTCTTCATTTTCCGAAAGAGCATAACAAAAATGTCCAGATATCGAAAACCAATTGAATATGTTAAGTATCGGCTGAGATATGACCATCTGAATAAAAATATTTTCTATATAGTGTCATATGCTCTGGCTCACAATGGTTAAGATGGAGCATGTTTTGGAGAAGCCAGACATATATACATGTAACATAGTACCCCCATATCTTGGCAAAGTGTTGGTATACTCTAAAATGTATTAAAAATAGATGTACGCTATACTCTTTGGGGGAATTTTTGGTGATAAAGTGAGCTTGGCAACGTGAGTGTTTCGATGGCCGTTAAATATTTTAAAAGATTCGGGTGTTATCAGCAAAATAATTGCACCGGAGCACACCGCCCGTACCCGGACACTGCTAACGCAGATAGGGTGACATATTCATAATTCCTACAGAATTTGGTGTTTGCTGCGAAAGGGATACACTACCTTTAAGAAAGGGATTGAGTACCGTATCGAACATTTTTCTTGAGCTGATGAAGACAGGCCTATTGTCATTAATATCCATAGGGGTGTTTCACAAAGATCCCAAGTCGAACTTAAGTCTAAGTTAGACTTAAATATTATGGAGAGCCATTTGTAGCCTTAAAATGAAATATATTCAAAAGCAAAAATTCAAGTATTTTAGACTTTTTATAAATTCCACATCAAGAACATGAAATCTCCTTGATAATAGAACATATGAATGATTTGAATCAACATTTTATGCCTTTTTAATTAACTTTTACAAAATATTTTCATAGATGCTAATGGCTTTCCATAATTTTTAAGTCCAACTTAGAGATAAGTTCAACTTAGGATCTTTGAGAAACACCCCCCGGAACACGTTACAGACCTGAATAACAAAGATGTGAATAAAAAGTCAGTCAAAACATCCTGGCCAAACAAATAATTGGTCTTTTCCAGGAAATGACTCCTTCGGGGGACAGGATGAGGTTTTCTTTAAGTTTTTGTAGTACTTACTTAAACAATTACTTCTACTTCTGAGTTGACACTTAAAGATAAACTTTAGTACTGGTAATGCAATTGCATTGTGAAAGAAAAGGTGTGGAAAGGATCAGAAACAGTTGATCATGTAGCATGTAAGTATTGGTGTGCACTGCAAGGTTCTGGAGTCATCAAAATCATAATAAATTTGACCAAGTCTTGGTAAAGTAACAAGCACTCACATAGAAAGCTATTTATGGGACAACACACATGGTGTCGGGGCTGGTACTACCTTGATTTCCTTGTCTTTCTATGCTCATTACTCAGCCAGTATACATTTTCTTCTGAAATTGTTTGGCACATGTCATTTATTTGTAATCTTGAACATTCAGTGTAAGTTTCGTTTGATTCTGTGAGAATTTTTTTTTTTTTTTTACCAGTACTGGAGTTTATCTTTAATACTGATGTTTAAATTCTATCAAAGATCGCTGGAAATTTCTAGTCCATTTCCGTTGCACTACATCACATGTAACTACATTGCACAATGATGAAAAAGAGTGATTAAATAGAGAGAAAAAAAATCATTGAAGCCTCGAAACTGGCAGAGCTATGACTTCTGACATTTATGATCACTTTTCTGCAGAAATGTAATGTTCATTCACATTGGTTCACTCCACTGAATATACAGTGTACATTCTTTTTTTAACAAAAGAAGAGTGGAAAAACTTTATAATCGGTCATTATTGGTGCCAATTCAAGGAGCAAAAGCTGATGCATTGACATGTGTAGACCTTTAGAAAACTCTGAAATGCAATATTGCATTACTCTCTCTCTATCCCTCTGCGCTCGCAACCTACCTGATTCACCGCATTCATGTCCTTTTCACTTTACAGGACTCCCCTCACAAAAGAATACAGCTGTTCATAAAATACAAAGAAGCCCTACATAGGATGAAACTGAACGAATACCCCTCTATCTCTCTCTCTCTCTCTCTCTCTTCTTTCTCTCTCTCTCTCTCTCTCTCACACACACACACACACACTCTCTCTTTCTACCCCCTTCTCAACCCCAACATTCGACTCAGGACTCCCCACATGGGGAAACCGCAAACTTATGATTTACATTTATTCTTTTCATTTTTACATTTACTACCGGTAAATTAATTTCAATTAGACTGAACATCCAGGTCACAATAGATACAGTGTAATTGGTCTTTTCCAGGAAATTACTCATTTAAAGAGCAGGATGTAGTTATATACCTGTTCTCTATTATTAGTAAATAGAATAGATCAATAGAAGTAGTTTAAGCTTTAAGTACCACTTTTAAGTACACGTACATCCCGACATGTACCAGGTAGTTGATTATTTTACATTTCGGTGTTGGCATCTGTCAGTGACATCTTTACATTACCCTTATTTATTTATTTAGTATTTAGTATTCATTTATCTATTTATCCATTTAATTATCTTTTAATTGATTTAGATATTCATTAATTCCTTCATTCGTTTACTCACTCACTCATTATTTCATTTGGTATGTTTGCTCAATTAAAATCTGTATAATTTCCAGAGAAAAAAAAAGGGTACAGTACATTCATTTGAGAGAGATATAAAGGAAACAAGAAAGAAATTAATTTCTTTTTTTTTAAAGGTTTTAAAGTTGTTTTTTTTAAATGGCTCTCCTCACTAGCCAGTGCAGTGGTTTACAAACATATAAACTTACATAACTACATGTAGGTCCTACACATAGTAATGTACAATTGTACTGTACATACAATCTCAATTTTGTTTATCTGCTGCTGATGATAGCCAGTAGTAGTAGTAGTAGTAGTAGTAGTAGTAGTAGTAGTAGTAGTAGAAGTAGTAGTAGTTGTAGTAGTAGTAGTAGTAGTAGTAGTAGTAGAAGTAGTAGTAGTAGAAGTAGTAGTAGTAGTAGTAGTAGTAGTAGTAGTAGTAGAAGTAGTAGTAGTAGTAGTAGTAGTAGAAGTAGTAGTAGTAGTAGTAGAAGTAGTAGTAGTAGTAGTAGTAGTAGTAGTAGAAGTAGTAGTAGTAGCAGTAATAGTAGTAGTAGTAGTAGTAGTAGTAGTAGTAGTAGTAGAAGTAGTAGTAGTAGTAGAAGTAGTAGTAGTAGTAGAAGTAGTAGTAGTAGTAGTAGTAGTAGTAGTAGTAGAAGTAGTAGTAGTAGTAGTGGTAGTAGTAGTAGTAGTAGCGGTAATACTACATGTACAGACTACAGGCATTTAAATCTATTCTTTTATAAAAGTCAAGTACAGTATTAATTATGAGTATATTATATGGGAGAGTCTCACTATCAGTTCCTCACACTCATGAGTCACAGAAAAGAATGAGTAGATACATTTAAAGTGACTCTGTATCAAACATTGTTGAAGGTTGATTAAAAAAATTGCTTAATTTTTGTATAAAAATGTTACTTATTATATTCCTTCTACTGTACTACCCCTCTGACATGCAAAAAATCCTGACAAATTTTTCAAACCACAAAGATATCTTTGGTTTTCTTTGAAGGCATTGATGTACGACACCCTTTAACAGTGATTAACAGTAAATTCTCCCAACCATTTTTGAATTTTCCCAACCATTTTTCCATGAAAAAAAGACATAAAACAGGCTATTAGTATTACAAATCTGTCAACACTTACGGTAAATGTCTAGAATGGTATGTACCTGTAGAGCAAATTTATTGCTTTGTGGCGATTTACATTCACCTAAAATGTAATTACATTGTAATAATGTAGTTGGGAGAATTAAGGAATCGATCAGATCAGTTTTTCCTAATTTGTATCATTAATAATTATATGGTCCGTTTTCACTCAAATTTTCTAAAAAATCTTTAATTGTACATCTAGCATTGAAGTCACTACACTACCTTAGCACCTCTTAATCTTAATTCTTATCTCATCTGAACAAATACCAAGTCCCTTTAAGGATACGGTGTGAAAGAAAGCTTCATTTATTTATCCGGAATTGTATGAATTCCATAATGCTGTTTACTCGAGCAGAAAGAGCAAAAATCAGAGGAACTTTCGAAAACCAATTCTGATGCAAATTTGGGGGTAATGTCCTGGAACCTATTCCAACATCGGTGAACTCACAAGAGTTGAAAAGATTGTAAATTTGTATTTTAGTGTAGTCTATCTACCCTAGAACTATTATTTAGCCTAAAACTGAAATTTAAGTTTAGGTGTCATAAATTGTCACTAGAGTTACCAAGTTAGAATCTACTGTTAACTAAAGTACCGATTTTCAGTGAATTCTGGTTTGTTTTGTTTAGATCTAGACCTCAGGCTCTACTCTAGCTAGAGTCTAGTGCCAGTGGTTTTTGAAGATGTTGAGAAGCAATAGGGGCCTAAACTTACTTACTAATTACTACTAGGAGTCGGACGTCTGAACAGTTTTTCCTACACAAAAAGTGTAACTTTTTTAGGGTCTAGACTAGTCTAGACTCTAATAGGCCTATAGGGTCTAGAATTAGAAAAGCCTAGACTCTAGGCCTAGAAATAGTAATGCCTCCTTCCTCGATATGTGGCCTTGAGTTGACCTATCCATGCCTTGACTAGATATCCTAGGTCTAGACTTCTAAATGTATTGTAGATTAGACCCTAGGCCCTACATGTTCATTCACTACTACACTACATCATGTACATGTAGGCCGTAGTTCGGTCGCACACAATAGAGTTTAAACACTCTCACTTGCCTCACTCTCACTTACTTTCGTGAATTCAGGATACCTGTTACAAAATATTCCTTATTGATTCCATGGAGGACGAGTATAACGGAAACAGACACAATGACCGTCACGAGAATTTTCTTTGGAAGCCGGTTCGACATCTTTAAAAGTTAAAGTCTCATCACAGGCCAACGCCGCCGCCTTCTTCTTCTTCTTCTTCTTCTTCTTCTTCGCTAGCCTATTCTTTAGGAACTTATACAGGCCACCGTCGTCGGGTGATGTAGATGCTGTGCAGGTGTATATACATCTAGATCTAGGCCTACATGTAGTGTCTCAATAAAAGGTCGACAATGAACTATGTGCAGTTAAAAGCCTTCTTCCTGTACCAGATGATGATGATGATGATGATGATGATGATAATAATAATGACGAGCACACATGCACAGTCAGCTAGTCGAGTCGAGTCATGATAAGATATGATGTGAACTTGAAGAGCCAGAGCCTACTACAGCCGCGCGCCACATCGGGTACGGTCGGAGAGCGATCTGGAACAACATTTGATGACTCGATCAACTTTCACTGTATGGCGCCTTGATTGGTGGCGGTAGTCGGTCGTCGGCGACCCGCGCGCGCTGCGGTGCGCGCGCTATGTGCTAGCGCTTTTGTATTTGTACGTACATACGCACGTACACACAAATATATTTATGTACTACAGCAGCTGTCGCTTCGGAGCATATCCATCTTTTCTAAACCAGGGAGATATAATAAAGGCAGATAACTGCATAACTTAAAGGTACCATGTCCCATTTGCAGGCCAACAAATAAAAAGGTTAAATTCCAACGACATTTGAAAGATAATACCGTACTAATTTAGAACTTCCCCCTCCAAAAAAGGGGGGCTTGAAAAAATGTCTTAAAGTGGGAAAATAACGCATAGTATAGCATACATGATTTACTCAGTCACGCTAAACAAACACTGGCAAATTATTATTCAATACAATCTGAGACTGATACTATTATCTAGATCTATTTAAAAAAAATTATTGTCAAAATAATTCCATAAATTGGGATAAAAAACAAATATTCCAACTAAATGAGCGTCAGTGTATTTAATTGCTTATGTAGCCATCATGATTAATAGCATGGGCGTCGATCCTTACGTAATACCTATTCATCAGGGGGGATGAATGAATAGATCACCCCCCCCCCCCCTGATGAACACCCATGATTAATAGCAGTGTATCTCAAAGATTTTTTTATCGATCGCAAGTTCGGTAGTGAGCGCAATTTAAGGGATGGCATTATACAGACTGGTCATGATTAATCGTAACTTGTTGTTGTTGTTGCGATTAATGGCGTTTCCATCGTCATTCGATGATTTTCGCCAGGCAATGTGGCGTAGTTACTGGTCCTCTCTTGAAGGTAAAGACCAGTATTGGAAATGGAAGCTCTCATTACCAATCATGTGAAAGAATATGTTTTGACTAATACATGATGATAAAAAATTTGCCGGGAAACCGCCTACTAATACGTATATTTGGTAAATTTGTTTCTCTCATGGTCTGTGAGAGATATAGGGTAGTAACTTTACGAAGAATGGGCCAAATTTCTTATCATTTTGATGATTCCAGAACCTTGCAGATGCTAGATGCTGGATGATCAACCTTTTCTGATCGATTCCACAACGTTTCTTTCACAATGCAATCGCATGACCATAACTGGTCTTTACCTTTAATACTTTTACTGTTGGATCGACGATAGCCTAGTGGCGTTGTGTTGTGCAATTAACAATGTCAGTAAATTGTTAGTAGTTATTTTCTGTATTGTTATTCGGCTTGTTATTTTAAAGAATTCATTAGGAAGGAAAGGATGATATGGTTGAATATTAGTTGCGATCAGTTCATTACGTTGGGACGTTAGTTATAAAGCCTCTCTCGTTATAATGAAGCAATTTATACAATTCATATACAATGAAGCAATTTATACCGAGGATAGTACCACTGTCAGTAATAGATAATATAGCAAAACGTAATTAATACTCAATTAATACGTAATTAATACGTAATTAATGTTTTATAGCTGAGTATCACAGTTTTGTACCTTCCATTGCCTATTAAAAAAGCTACCACCATCTTTCCTATATATTCCTCATTTCCTAGTAAGTGACCTAGATTTGGATTTTGGATTTTGGATGTTGGATTTTGGGTCTTTAGTGGGTCTTAGTAACTCTCTATATAATTATGCTGCTAATGTGTGATTTTCTTTCACAGACCATGAAAACTATTCTCACCTGGATTTGTATCTGGCCTGCGGCATTGTTGAAAAGTAGATGTACCACGGTCTTGCTTCTTTCATAATAAGCGCAAATTGTTGAAAAGTAGATGTACCAGTCTTGCTTCTTTCATAATAAGCGCAAATTGCACCTGAAACTAAATGAAAGCAAAAGCAGCATCATAATGACATGCACTGAAGACAGTGTAGGTTATTCCTGTAAATTCTCCTGTCATATCAATTCCTTCGCGCTCCTTTTTGGAGATCAACCGACCCGCGCGCATTTTATATTACATGATATATTGTAAAATTCTCGACATCTCATGTACATCTTCTGGTATGGTGCTTGCTTGGAAAATTCTTTAAAACACGGAGTGGATTTGGGCAACATTTGCTGGTATCAAGAACAATAATTTGTTAAAAAGAATTATTTTATAGGGTGAGGGACCAAGGATATGCAATTTTCCTCATTACCGTCACTTCGTGAAAAAAGGGAAGATTTTTTTTTCTCCAAAGATAATGTTACATCATGAGGGCGTGTGTAGATCTCTATGCATGCATGATATTGTTTACTCTGTGAGTTGTCTGCAGAGTCTGGTTTTGAGTGTTTTCCCCCTTTACAGGAGCGCTAAACACGACTTTATACTTGTTGTCATATTTCTAAATGACTTCTTTTGCTGCCACCATGATAAGTAATTATTTTTCTTCAAAATATGATATATTTATTTATTAAATTATGTGAATACCCCTCCTCCCCCCCCCCCCCCCCCCCCCCCCTCCTTCCCCCGGCATATTATTATTGTAAGCCGTATAGTTCTGTGTTTTTTTATGAGGAGTCAGAATGATAAAGCCTGGTTATTTTATTGCGATTGATTTTGAAAAAGCATTCGATTCCGTATCTCATACTTTCTTATTTAGAGTCTTAGAAAGGTTTCAGGGTTCTGTCCCTCATTTTTGTTCGTGGGTAAAAATATTTACAGTAATATAAGTAGCTGTGTTATGAATGAGGGTTTTGCTACTGGTTATTTTGATATTAAGCGAGGGGTAAGGCAAGGAGATCCACTCTCGCCCTATTTATTTATTCTCGCTATTGAAATATTGTCAACAGAAGTGAGGAATGACGAGGTTATTGAAGGCGTTTATATTGGAGGAATTGAAGTCAAACAATATGCAGATGACATGACAATATTGTTAGAAATAAAGAATCTGTAGAAAGAGTAAAGGATATGAGTAAGTTATTTAAGAAAATTAGCGGTTTACGGGTTAATGCGGAAAAAAAACTAATATTATAAAATTGGGGAAAAACAAAGACAAATCAGAAAAACTTCCCTTTGGGAATGTGGTTCAAGAAATTAAGATTTTGAGAGTGTCAGAATAAGAGAGATTAAGCGAGATTAAAAGACTTTTCGGATGGTGGAAACAGAGGGACCTTACGGTGTTTGGTCGGAAAAATTAATTTATTAAAAACATATGCATAATGTAAATTAAATTACGTTTTTGCTTCACTATATAGTGGTTCCGAAGTGGGTCATATCGGAAATACATAAAATATGTTTTGAATTTATATGGAATGGGAAAGATCGAATTAAGAGATTAATATTGTATCAAGGTTATAATGAAGGAGGGTTACGAATGACTATTTTTACTCGTTTTTAAAAACCCAACGGGTAATGTGGGTGAAAAGACTATTGTACGGAGAAAATCTATGAGATGGAAGCTGTACTTTGATATCTGCTTCAAGATGGTAGGGGGTGGATTTTTGTTTGTGTGTAACTATGATTCCAGGTTATTAAGTTTCAAAGTACCTAAGTTCTATTTAGAAACTAGACATTTTATAATACTTGTTTTGTGGGCTGGTCAACTAAAATTTGAGACAAAATAGGGCAAAAATAAGCGAGATACTGCTTAAAAATTTGTAAAAAACAATATCATGTAGATTCATGACGTGAACGAAGTTCACTTTCTATCAGTGGCGTAGACAGGTTTGTACACCTGGGGGGGGGGGATGACTCAGGGACGGATCTAGCTTTTTGCTAAGGGGGGGGGGTGACCAAAATAATGACGATGCAGAGCATCGTCCACGAGCCGCGAAGCGGCGAGCCGATTTTTTTGGGGGGTGTTTATTTGAACCCCGTAAGTGATGTTTTCCTGGCATCTATTAACACAATGGAGACCATAAGAAGCAGTGCATGATAACGTCTTTTTAAATCAAGTAACAGTTAAATACACAGTTATATCCAGAGTTATCATGTGTTTGGTTAAGTTACCAGATGAGTTGAATATCTTCTCACAATATTTGCACTTGAAAGGGTTTCTCTCCAGCGTGCGTTCTTTTTTCTTTTTTTTTTTTTTTTTTTTTTTTTTTTCCCCTTTTTTTTTTGTTTTTTTTTTTGGCCGCCCAAGGGGGGGTTTAAACCCCCTAAACCTCCCCCGTAGATCCGCGCCTGTTTAATCTTGTGGTTATCTTGTGGTTTCCAAACCACAAGATAACCACAAAATACTTGTAAGATTTTCTTTTTCTTACCGTCTGAATTGGCTTTCACCTTGTGAATGCGGCTAATAACAATAAACACAATTACAATAATGATGAGGATTATTATTATCATCATCATAATTATTATTATTATTAATATTATAATTGTTATCATTATTATTATTACTATTATTATCATCATTATAACTTATTAAGTAAGCAAATATCATCCCCCAAAACCTGGGGGGGGGGGATGATTGTACATGCCATCCCCCCCACCTTGTGAGGTGGGGGGATGCATCCCCCTCATCCCCCCCGTTGTCTACGCCCCTGCTTTCTATAACACGCAAATTATGAAATTTCTGACATGAGGCCTTTAAGCGAAATATTCACTATGATGACGTCATCGAAATGAAAAAAGTGAATTCTGAGCTTGTAGAAAATAATTGTCGTAGCTACAACATATCGAAATTTGGCAGAAAATCGATCAATTTTGTACAGAGATACAA